TTCTTGTTGAAAAACTCTCTGAATTTGATCTGCTATGTAAGACCAGATTGAAACGTTTAGCTCGCGAGTATCTTCCAATATCCAAACTGAAAATTTGATGGACTTGTTTCGTTGATTTCAACGAACACCTTTGCAGAACGTCAACATCAAGAACTCATCGACGCACTCTCGGAAATTCTAAAATCAGAAGAGGAATTCAATGCCAGACGTAAAGCAATGGCAAATCAGTCTTCTTCGTTGAACCAGTTATATCCAATCCTACCTACTAGTGATAGTTCGTACGCGACAATGCCGTCGTCATCGTGCACTGAGCGAATCTACGATGCCATATGGACACCGACAAAAGTGTCTGATTATCAAACCAACAACATGGAGTTTCAGTCAGCACCAAGACATACTGAGTTCATGCCGACAGATGAAAATCATCACGAGCAATTGGTGAGACTCTCGTTTTCGCCACCTCATCGTTCGGCAACTACGAGACGATCTCGAGGCAAGAGATCAAAGTTCAATTGGAGTCGATCACTTAGCAGAACGTCGGCTCGATCATCAGAAAATCCATCAGCTACACCTGTAATGTCTTGTAATGAGGCGACTAGCAAATTGAGGCTCTCTAGTAGGGATTCAATGAATTCGAGGCCGTCAGTGCCTCCTCCACCCCCACCTCCACCTCCACCGCCACATTTTTCGTTGACACCACTGATTTTCGAATGATCTGATCTGAGGCGGTGCTAAAACCGAATGAAACATTTTTCAAGAATGCTTATAGTGGTCGAAAAAATGTACCTGCAAGATGTTCAAATGCTAGATATCCTATGACAGAATAACCCTGTTCGAGCATTCACATGCTTCAACGTAAGGGTACACCTTACCACAACAATCGCTCCGTGCACTCAATTAATATGCTAGAGCCCACTGAGGATTCTTTTAGAAGAATAACTTTTCATATTTCTGACAAATAAGACCTTTTTCAATGAATGATTCTCTCCCCATTCGATAGTCTATGGTTACGTGTCTGAAATTCAAAAAAGTTCTGATGTTTATCGTCCGTCCTGTTATCGACAAATGCCTTAGAAGCACCGCATCATCTTGTTTATGTGTATATAGTGTATTTTCTTGTCTTCGATTGTAGACGTTCGATGTGATGAGTGAAGCGTAATAAATTATTGAAAGTACATGTACTTTGTGTCGTCACAAACGTTTGAAGTTTTCTCAACAGCATGCTTGTTTCAGTGAGTATCATTCAATCATGTTATCGCATGAACTTTTATTTGAAAATGAACTGTATAGAAAACGAGCTCATAGCACAGTATCGTTGATTTATCGGACGCATTATGCAAAACACATTTATTGATGGTGAATCGTGATGAAAACTGTTTTCGTTCGGACGTTTCCAAGTTTCAATGAAAAACTGATCGATACAGCTGTCTGTGCAGAATTGATGTTCCGTTCA